GGCCTGCCCACAGTCTGGAAGGCAAGGTGAGTGCAGCACCCCACTCTTTGGTAAGAAAGGAATTCATCTTTGGGAGTGCATCTCTCTATACGTTTTATAGTAATTCTACCTCTAGTGTTCAAGTCTGTATTCATAAAATTGCATCCTCTTCAGTAGCAGAGCTATTTCTGTGTTAAGTATACAGTACCTTGCACATAAAGTAATAGAGTGGGAGGATTTGATGAAGAAATAAAATAATACTGAAATTTGAATAAAAATAAATCTCATCATTTGAACAGCCTTGTTTTAATATTTGTTAAATAACATTTAACCATGTCTCTATATGCCCTGCTATTCAAAACATTATGCCCTCTTTATGTATCCGTTTTTCTTTATCATTCTCTACTGGGCTGTCTGAGAAAAATAAACATTTGAGTAATTTTATCTTTGATAAACACATAGCACCCTCCTAGAAAGCCTGAATATTGCTCTATCAAAAAGTTCAATGAAACACTTTTTTTTTAACATTCGTATGTCAGCTTTTACATTTTGAGCAGCCCCAGTGGGTCCTCAAGTACCACTAATGCTGAGAGACAGGCAACGCCTTGGCCTGGTTCTCTAGGCTGACGCCTCTCACCAGCGATGTTCCCGTGAGGCCTTCCAGAAGATCCAACAGTTTCCTTCCATCTTTGAGGTCTGTGAACATATCACTGATGGGCGGTTTCCCACTCTGCATAAGAAACAGTAAAATACCACTTAATTCAGCAGCAAAAATTCATACATGCCTGGCAGGCAAAGGAATGGTTTATTTTTTCTAATGATCAGCTGACTATACAACTTTGCCTTGTATCAAAAGAATAAACACAAACACAGAGAACGTTGAGATCTTATCGCAAATGTTGTGAGCTGAAGGATTTAAATTGCATTATTTCTTAGAAAGGGAGCAAATAAAGCTTTGGTAGATGTCAATACACCTTGACGATGGTATATAGTGTCCTGAGAAGGAATAATAAGAAGATATAGTAAAAATATAAGTGAGTCTCCAAACACCTGGGTACAGAGGCCAATGAAAAGTGTGCGGGTCCTTATTCCATCACCGCCCTTACATTCATGGTAGGAGACTGTCTTGTATTTCCATTATGGGAGCATGAATTTCAGCTCTTGGGTGCTAGGTCTGTATTTCTAGCAATTTCATTTCTGAATGATTAACATGCTTTGGGCTCTGTGTGGAAGTTCAATATCGGTTCAGTGTTTTCAATAATAAAGCTTATAGAATTCTTAAAAGCTCTTCCTCTCATCCCTGACTGATAAATAGCATCAGCTTCCCCGAGAAACAGGCTCTGGTGTTTGAACCAGGAGATGCCACCCCATCCCAGGCGCATCCCATCCTGACTGTCTGTGTGATCAGACGAGTTGTGTGCCGCGGGACGATCACCACACAGAAAATCAGGAAGCTCAGCCTTAATCCCAGTTTGACCATTAATTTGCTGGTGAATCTAAGTCAGCTATTGAACCTGTTTCTGAGTCACAGATTATAGTAAAGATCAAATAATTTATACTACGTGAAGATGTGCCGAAAACTACAAAGTCCACTGTAGTAAATACTGTGTCATTCCGTCACATCAAATTACTCCCTAATAAAAAATTTTCAGAGATTAATCGTCCTACATCCTTTCAGTAATAAAGATATTTTATAAGCAATAATTATTTTACTTTCTTCCCTTTTTACTTTAAAAAACATATACATAAAGTCATATGAGGCAAAATTTTACTCTGAGCTTGAAACGGAGGAGGAAAACGGGAGCCATCTGAGGTTTCCTGAAACTTCACATTTATCCCCTTTTCCTCTCCTCCTCATTCATTACATTCTTTAAACGAAATGTAATTCTTATTCAACAAACGATTTCTAACATGCGGCTTTTCCATATACTCTAAATACTCTAAATGAGGAGGAGTATGGCCAAGTTTTCAGCATAGAATCAGTAAAGAGTAAACTATGACTCATCTGTATGTGAAACAAAGCTGCTCTTCTCTTCCCAGTTACCATTTTTGTGAGCAGCGATGGTGGCAGGGACACATAGATTCCCTCCACTGACTGCAGTAACAAACAGATTTGCGTGATGCAGGAGACACGGTCCAGAGGCAGGAGTATCTCCGGAGGCAGAGCGAGGGGGAGTTTCCTGCACATTAAAGACCTCCTGCTGCTCTCAGGGAGAGCAAAGGGCAGAAGTGGCCTGGCCACCTGCTGCCTCTTACCTGCCCCTTCCTCCGCCAACCAAAGTGCACTGCAGCCACCTGCCACCAAATAATCAGATTCATGGGGAGGTGAACAACCTTGGTCTTAGAGCGAAGAGACAAGAATAGAGCTCACGTTCATGGGAGAAACAAATCGGGCAATCTCAGCACAGGAAGGATTGTAGGAAATTATGATGACAAGGGCAGCTAAATAATGTCCGGGCAGCATTGAACCCTTCTCAAATTCACTTTCCATGTATAAACAAGATAATATAAAACAGCATAATATAAAATAAAATACATGTAAATATCTGTCCATGTTACAACTAATTATGAATGTCCATCAATGACCTCACTGTAGACGAGAAAAGCTTCCTACCCACCGTATAACTTTGGGCAAAGTTACTTGGTTTTTCTGTGTTTATTTGCTCATCTATTAAAAAACTAAAATGACAGCCCCGGCCAGTGTGGCTCAGTTGGTTGGAGCATACGCTGTGCACTGAAAGGCTGCCGGTTCTATCCCAGTCAGGACACATAACTAGGTTGTCGGTTCAATCCTCAATGGGGGTGCATACAGGAGGCAACTGATTGATGTTTCTCTCATACATCACTGTCTCTCTCTCTCTCTCCCTCTCCCTTCCTCCCCTGCTCCCCTTCTCTCTAAAATCTGTAAAACATATCCTTGGGTGAGAATTTAAAAAACAAAAATACAACTAAGATGACAGAAATTCAATAAGCAATGTTGTCATTCATCTCATAAACTCTTAACTTTAACATTTCTACTGTCATAAAAGTGCCATAAAATTTCAACAATGTCCGAAAAGATGGATAAAACAAATAAGCACTTCTTCATCCCAAGAAGGAATGTAAAAGCAAGCTCTGAACCCGAGTACATGGTAGTGTCAATTCATAGACAACTATCTTCCAGGTCCTGAATTCACGAAGGGATACATCCCATTCAAAACTAAGGAATGTGCTGATACAAGGGCACGCCTCTGCTTTAGGTATGCACCATGGGATGGCGTAATTCTGCAGAACACTCACTGGATTCCTCCTTAAGCTCCACTGCTGCTCAATGGTGAAGTGGGAGGTGTTAATTAAGAGGTAGCATTATTTTTTCTGAATGAGACACTCTTTTCATCTCTCTCGTATCCCATTCATTCATTCATCTACTAAGCAACAAATTTTGAGAATGTTTCCCTGTGGAGCATTCTGTTGAAACAAAGATGACTGAGACCCAATCCTGCCTTTCTAGAAGCCACTCACTCAGACAAGGGCAGCCAATGCCTTTATTTTCTTTAAAAACACAAACTGTACCGTAACAACTCTTTCTTTATTCTGTTTCAAATTTTCAGACAAATATTGATGGCAATCAATAAGAAATATGCTTTGTGCTGTCCCCTTATCCTAACACTTTCTCGCCCCACCCCCAAGGATGGTACTATCAGTGTGTACTCACTCCCATCTGTTACCTTCAGAAGGACCACGTGCAGGACAGCCAAAGAGGACAAAATACAGCCTGTGAATCTCCTCCCAGAAAACGTACCAACGCTTATACACATCCAAAACTATGGTTCAAAATTACACAAAAGCACAGCCATATGGTCAACCAATACATAATACTACATATCCCCGACAAACACAATTTGTCCCAGATGTGGATTGGAAAAAAAAACAGCCTAAGCCCAACAGGAAGTTCTGCCTACAACCCGGAGAGTAACCGCTGCAGGCGTGGTGATTCGGTGCACTGTGCCCTATGGCAGGGGTCAGAAAATGTCTTTTGTAAAGGTCCAGTGAGGACCCAGATTAGGTGCTGCTGGCCAGGGGGTTGGTCTCTACTGAAACCTTTCTATCCAGTTGTAATGTGAAAACAGCCACAGTCATTACATAAACAAATAAGCTGGTCGGAATGATGACTGGGTTCCAATAAAACTTTATTTGTGCATTCTGAAATTTGAATTTCATATAATGTCTATGTGTCACAAAATATTTATTCTTCTTCTGATTTTTCACAAAAAAAATGTAAAAATGAAAAAAACAAATTTAGCTCGTGGGCCAGACCAAAACAGAGAGTGGAAGCAAGCAATGTTCTTCAACATAGTAAAAGCAATCACTCAGACACGTTCTAAGAGATTTACAGAGACTTAGATGTACTATTTACTTGCAGTATTTGTTTCTTTATAATAGTATTTTAAGGTAAGGAAACTGAGACACAGAGGTGACATGACGACTGAGAGACAGAACCTGGATGGGATAACACAGGATTCGGTTCCGAATCCAGGTCCTCAAAGTCTGTGCTAAATTGTAACTAAAATTATGAGGTCACAAAACTGCAACATACAGAGAAGGAAGTACTTAATCAGTTGTGAGCAGAGAACAGAGGAAGTTACGTGCCATGACTTCCCAAAGAGGGCAACATTTAAATGAACTCAAGCTCATGGCTTTCAAGCAGAGCTGGTGCTTTCACAGGCTCTAACGCGGGACCCGCCCTGAGAAACAGTTTGGGAATGTCAGAAGTCATCGTTTAATGAAAATAAAAGCATTCTTCCAGACAGTTAACCTCTTATTTAGATTTTAGGTTCTTTACAAAGACATATTTGCAGAGATTTCTCTGACAGAGAGAACAGTTTAATAATTCAATCAGACAAATATTTGGCGAAAACCCCCTTTGTGCCTGGTCTTGCAGAAATGCCAAGTTCAGGTCGCCCTCCCCGTTCATATGACAGGGTTTCCATAGTTTTCCAATAAACACAAAGTAATAGAAACAATCTTGAACTTGGAGCACAGACAAGCCTTGAGTCACATTTAACCTTAAAAAATAAAAATAAAAAAGGCAACAACACTATATAATTCCAGAGACAGAAGCTGCAAGTGACCAACTCTGGTTGCCCACCCCTCTGGTCCCCGTTTTCCCTGTATTTCTTTGCACTCTCTTTATGCCAAATTAAGTAAACTGATGCAATTCAGGTTCCTCACAATTATAAAATGTGTAGCTTAACCAATAAGATGAAGACTGTATGATCTAGTGAAAGAATGAAAACAGCATGGCTTTTGACTGAAAGCAGAATGAGTTCAGTGAAATGCCTAAAGTCTTTAAATACCTTGACAACGGAAAACTAGCAAGATGTGTTATAGTCACTTAAAGAATCAGAGAGTACAGGGCTTAATTTTTAATTCATCCTTAAAAATTCATGGTGGTCACCACAAGATCTTAAGGTTCCACTTAGAAGCTTGTTTGGAAGGAGATAGGGAGAGAAGAAAAGGAAGGAGAAAGAGGGGAACAAGAGAAGCAAATGGCTCAGGTGACAGACTAACACCACATTACCTCCAGAGCAACGATCTATACTGTATTCACAGAGGAATCAAACCAATGAATGTGCATGTACCTTAAAAATGACGGTATGCTATAAAACACAAGCTACACCACATAGTCTTTCAGAGCATCAGGAGTCATACAGCAAGTAACAGAACTGTTACCTTGATTTTGATAAGCAA